AGAGAGACAGAGCATGAACGGGGGAGGGGCAGAGAGAGAGGGAGACACAGAATCGGAAACAGGCTCCAGGCTCTGAGCCATCAGCCCAGAGCCCGACGCGGGGCTCGAACTCACGGACCGCGAGATCGTGACCTGGCTGAAGTCGGACGCTTAACCGACTGTGCCACCCAGGCGCCCCTAAAAGACATTTTTCTTAAGTAGAGTGCGAACTCTATGGATTTAGAGTGACCTAACTTACATACCTGGAATCAAATGCCTCAAGGTAACATCCTACTGTTTCGTGATTGATAATTTGTCCCACTGCCATTTTCAATGATGGAGCTAGAATGTATTATGCTAAGCTAAATAAGTCAATGAGAGAAAGCCAAATACTATATGATTTTACTCACATGTGGAATTTAAGATCAAAACAGATGAACATAGGGGAAGAGGGGGGAAGAGAAGAGAGGGAAACAAACCACAAGAGGTTCTTAATGATAGAGAACAAACCGACGGTTGACGTAGGGAGGTGAGTGGGGGATGCGCTAAATGGGCGATAGGTATTAAGGAGGGCACTCGTTGTGATGAGCCCTGGGTGTTGTATGGAAGCGGTGAAACACTGAATTTGAGTCCTGAAACCAATATTGCAGCATATGTCAACTAATGAGAATTTGAATAAAATTAAATAAATAAGTAAAAATTTTAAAAAAACCATTTTTTTTAAATAAAAAAATAACGTGCCCCTTTGTTTTCACGTTCAAATACAAATAAAAGTTAGGAAATCATTTATTATTATAATCACTTTGGAACGCTGCCTCGGAGATAGGGCTTATTCTTTTTCTACAGTATTCCCATTTGTTCTTGATAAACAGAAAATGCCTGGGGCGCCTGGGCGGCTCGGTCAGTTCAGCCTGCGACTCTTGATCTTGGCTCAGGTCACTGTCTCACAGTTCGTGAGTTCCAGCCCCATATCTGCGCCATCAGCACAGAGCCTGCTTGGGATTCTGTCTCTCCTTCTCTCTGCCCCTCCCCCGCTTGTGCATGCGCTTGCTTGTTCGGTCTCGCTCTCAAAATGAATAAACTGAAAAAAATAAGTAAGTAAATAACAGAAAATGCCTGCCGGCTCCGTTCCACTTATACTTCTTTAATTACAAAGGTTTTTTTGTTTGTTTGTTTGTTTCCTATCGATTTTGCTAATTCTCTTTATGTGATTCTATCTGAAAGTAAATTTAAACTCAGCTTTAGATTCTATCTTAAAGTAGGTTTAAACTCGGCTTTAAGATGTGGTTTGTTACTGCGGTTTACGTTGCTTTGGGGCACCTTATAACTATATAGTAACATCTGCCCACTTAGTGCACTTCACTCCATTTTGTGCCATTTTCTTTCTTCGTGAATGTTCATGTTGACGTCACGTGAGTTAACCAGTAGAATGCATCTAAATGGACAGATCTCTCAAACGTCAGCCATTCCACCCAGACTTTGTCAAGCCTTTAAAACTGCCAGTTACCCCTGCTGCTGATGCCTAGTAGTACAGAAGAGAATCTTGTGCAGTGCGGAAGAAAAGGTCTTTAGCCATGATTTCAAAGGATTCCCGGGAAAAGTACAAGATGAACTTCCCCTCCCAGGAGCAGGAAGCTGTGTCATATTTACCCCTACCTCTTCAGATGAAAGTGAAGGAACATGGGATATCACTTGTGTCTTACCTCGACGTGGGATTTTAAATACTCTCTGTCACCTATTTGGACATTATTTCCTTTTTAAAATTCTGAGAACAGTATACGTACACACATACACACGTAACTATTGTTACCTGTAAGTAAGTCCAGCACTATGCCCCTTTGAGTATTTGAGGTTTTGGAGGAGGGGAAAGGTTGAAATGCTAAGCTCATTACCCTTTCAGGAGCTTCTAAAGCCCTCTTCTCTGTGTTCAAAGGCTTTAAACAGCTATTAAAAGACTGAACTCCTCTCCAGTAGAACTTTGCTTCATGGGCCTGGTTAGCCAAAGCTTCAGTTCCTTTCTCTGTTGGGTCCAAAGAATTCACGGGTGGCCTGAGTCAGGGGTCATTTGTCAAAGACATTCAAGTAAAACGTATTCACCATTAATGATGATGCCAAGGTGAAGATAGAGGGGGAAGCGTTAGGCTCCCATAATTTTTTTAAGTGTGTGTGTGTGTGTGTGTGTGTGTGTGTGTGTGTGTGTGTGTGTGTTTCAAGAGAGAGAGTGTGAGCAGAGAGAGAGAGAGAGAGAGAGAGAGAGTCCCAAGCAGGCTCTGCTCTGTCAGCATAGAGCCTGACGTGGGGCTTGATCTCATGGACCTCGAGATCATGACCTGAGCCAAAATGAAGAGTCAGATGCTCAACCAAATGAGCCACCCAGGCGCCTGTAGGCTCCCATAATTTTGGGGGGGGTCTCCCAAAGTGAGCCCGAATAAATACGCAGTCAAGGAAAAAAAAATGCTTCCAACGGAAAGGCTGCTTTGAGGTCCCCTTGTCATACTTGCTACTCCTCTTCCTCTCCTCCAGTGAAATTTTCAAGATGTCACTGGTCCCTATTCTGTGCTACTCGTAAACGGCGTTGGGAGATCTGCTAACTTGTTATAATTACTACGAGATCTCTTTCCTACTCAGAACAAAAACGTCCAATGATTGACGTTTGTATCTGTTCCTGTACCCACTGCAAATGATGCTGACACCTAAGAGGATTGCAGTGCCTACCTGAGCTGTGGGCAGATTGTTTTGCTGTACTCCCTCCTCCCCCACCCCCCCCCCCCTTTTTTTAAGTAATCAATGTACATGGTTAAAAAAATCAAAATGCTTGTCTCCATTCCTTATCCCCATGCCCCAGTTCATCTCTCCAGCAGTAGCTACTGTTGCCAGTTTTATCTACATAGTTCTACTTTGTGCATGCACAGGCATATATGTATATGTATATATGTGTGTATGTATAATTGGAAGCCATTATGCGTTTTTCTTTTTTTATTTAATAATACATCCTGAAGAGTCTTAAAAAACCTGCATATTATTCCACCACATGGATGGATATACCTTATTTTATTTATTTTTTAAGTAGGCTCCACACCCAACGTGGGCCTTGAACTCACAACCCCGAGATCAGGAGTCTCACTTTCCACCAACTGAGCCAGCCAGGTGCCCCTGGATAACACCTTACTTTAAACCATCTTCTAGTGCTAGATTCTTAGGTTGTTTTTTTTGTCTTTTGTGCGGGCAAGGCTTAATATGTTTTACACTGACTGTACGTTTCCCTGTGTTCCTGTTCCCCTGAGAGAATTGTAGTGTCTCCTTCCCTAGTGATCACTCACTATCCAACCAAAGTGGACTCGCATCTAGAAGCTATAATAATAGCAGCTGAAATTTACTGAGGACTTGCTGCGTGTCAGACAGTGTGTTAAATACCTCATGAATTAATATTATTATCCCCATTTTACCAAAGAGAAAACTGTGGTTCAGTGACTTGATCACAGCCTAGGAACAGGAGACCTGGAATTCACATCTGTCTAAAATCCACAGTCTGGGGCCCCCTGGGTGGCTCAGTTAAGTGTCCAACTTCGACTCAGGTCACGATCTCATGGTTCTTGAGTTCAAGCCCCGCATCGGGCCCTGTGCGGACAGCCCAGAGCCTGGAGCCTGCTTCTGATTCTGTGTCTCCCTCTCTCTCTCTGCCCCTCCCCTGCTGGTGCTCTGTCTCTGTCTCTCTGTCTCTCTGTCTCTCTCTCTCTCTCAAAAATAAACAATAAAACATTAAAAAAATGTTAAATCCACAATCTATGCTCTTAGCCACTAGACCGTACTACCTGTCAGATCCAAAGTGGGACACTGAAAAACTAGAGAACTGCCAAAAAAGAGTGATCATGATGGTGAAAAATCTTGAGACCAAAGTTATGTGAAGAATGAAGGAGGGGCGCCTGGGTGGCTCCTCAGTCAGTCAAGCATCTGACTTCAGCTCAGGTCATGATCTCCCGGTTCGTGATTTCGAGTCCCCTTGTCAGGCTCTGTGCTGACAGTGCAGAGCCTGCTTGAGATTCGTTCTCTCTCTCTCTCTCTCTCTCTCTCTCTCTCTCTCTCTCTCTCCCCTCTCTCTCCAAATAAAAAGAAAAAACTTAATAAAAAAGTAATAAAGGAAAGTAACTAGGGCCATTTGGCCATGCCAAGGATGAACGAAATGATTTTGGGGTAACAGTCTTTAAATACTTAGAGAGTTGCCATGTAAGAGTGGAAGCATCCTTACTCTTTGTCGCTCCAAAGGGCAGAGCTATACCTAGCGGGTAGAACTTACAAGGACTAAATCAGCTAAAGGGCCTTTCTGACAGAAGCCAGGAAGAGGCTGGTGTGTTAAGGACAAGTGTAAAAGTTAACCATTTGTCAGGGATGCGGGTAAGGGCCGTTCCTGTCTTGGACTGCACTTGGACTAGATCATTGGTTCTCAAACCTCCGTGCACATCAGCATGGTCTGGGACAGGTTCCCAGAAATAATGAACAATATGCAACATTGTTCAAACTCAAGGAACCATGAGATACTGTTACTCTGTATTCCGTAGGTTGACTACTGAGCCCTCGAGGCCTTACCTAAATCTCCGGACAGATGTCCCAAAGTCATGAAATGCTGAGGGCAACTTTTATGCCGTTGCAACCACAGTTTTTGCTGACTTGAGTACATCTTGGATGAGGAATGTCTAGAGCTGAGAAAAGCAGTAAATACATTTTCGTAAGAGGGGCGCCTGGGTGGCTCAGCCCGTCAAGCGTCTGACTTTGACTCAGGTCATGATCTCATGGTTCGTGGGTTCGAGCCCCACATTGGGCTGTCCCCTCTCAGCAAAGAGCCCACTTCAGGTCCTCTGTCTCCCTCTCTCTCTGTCCCTCCCCAGCTCAAACGCGTGTGTTATCTCTGTTAAAAATAAACATTTATAAAATATATTTTTATAAGAGGTACCACATTAAGACTACTAGTGGCCTGTGGATAAATAAATATATTTATTTACAAATATATTAATCTCCCAAGTCTTCCAATTGACTCAAGAGGCCAAGATCACATTATATATATATTTTAATGTTTATTTATTTTTGAGAGAGAGACGGAACATGAGTGGGGAAGGGGCCAAGAGAGAGGGAGACACAGAATCCGAAGTAGGCTCCAGGCTCTGAGCTGTCAGCACAGAGCCCGACGTGGGGCTCGAACTCATGAACTTCGAGATCATGGCCTGAGCTGAAGTTGGATGCTTAACCGACTGAGCCACCCAGGCACCCCCAAGATCACATTATCTTCATTGCTTTGATCAAAACAAAAAAAAACCGTTTCTTTAAGGAATAGAGTAACTCACTGTTTTTCACTTCTTCTATTTGTTCATCCATTCAGCTTAACGCGTATTGACCATCTTTTCATCTGGCCAGGCACTGGGGTTGAAGCAGTGAACGAGACAGGCACAATCCCTGTGCTCATGTAAACTCAGCCCTCCCCAGCTTCAGATTCTGTGCCTCCCTCTCTCTCTCTCTGCCTCTCCCCCGCTCAGGCTCTGTCTCTCTCTTAAATAAACATAAAAGCAATTTTTAAAGAATAAACTTTTGCCCTGTACTTTATGTAGTTACGTTTGAAGGAGGTGATTTGACTCTGTATCATGTGTAAATCCAAATACCAAGAAAGTTCGGCGGTAGTTAGTTTTGAGACTGTGAGTATAGACAGACTCCTGCTTCCCTAATTTGTTGAGGATATTAGCCCCCTTTGAGCCTTAAAACTGGTAGACGGGGCCAACTTTATTTGTGATGTATGCATATTGCCTGCCTACTAAGCTTTTGGTCATTCTTTTCCAGAACCAACAAGCCAAAATAGCACAGTTGTACCTCCCGTTTGTTGGACTGCTCTTGGAAAATATACAGCGATTAGCTGGTCGAGACACTATGTACCCTTGTGCAGCCGTGCCCAGTTCTGTAAGTAGCAATGTGTTCCCGCTGATGTTTTATCCTGTTTTATTTATTTATTTATTTTTTTAAATTTTTTTTTCAATGTTTATTGATTTTTGGGACAGAGAGAGAGACATAGCATGAACGGGGGAGGGGCAGAGAGAGAGGGAGACACAGAATCGGAAACAGGCTCCAGGCTCTGAGCTATCAGCCCAGAGCCCGACGCGGGGCTCGAACTCACGGACCGCAAGATCATGACCTGGCTGAAGTCGGATGCTTAACTGACTGCGCCACCCAGGCGCCCCTTATCCTGTTTTATTGAATGCGTTTAGAATTGGGGTCCTGTGCTCTGTGGTCTCTGTCTTCATCATCCCTTTTCATTCCATTTTTTGACTTCTGCATACTTTTTTTCTAGAGCGGCGCTCCTCAAACTTTGACGTGCCTACGATCACCTGGGGGATTTGTTATAACAGAGATTCTAATTCAGTAGGCCTGGGGTGGCGTTTGAGGCTGTGTATTTCTAAGACCCTTTTGGCTGCCTCTGGCTCAAGGACCCCACTTTTTTTTTTTAATTTTTTTTTTAAGTTTATTTATTTTTGAGACAGAGAGAGACAGAACATGAACGGGGGAGGGGCAGAGAGAGAGGGAGACACAGAATCCGAAGCAGGCTCCAGGCTCCGAGCCGTCAGCCCAGAGCCCGACGCGGGGCTCGAACTCACAGACCGCGAGATCGTGACCTGAGCTGAAGTCGGACGCTCAACCGACTGAGCCACCCAGGCGCCCCTCAAGGACCCCACTTTGAGTAACAAGGTCCCAGAGAGTACCAGGAATCCCTTGTACCCAGTGTTGGTTGTTAAGATTTGTTATTTGCCTTCATATATTTATTCAACTGGAAAACTGAATGAAAAGGTTCCTCCTTTCCCAAATGTTAGGCACCAGGGGTTAAACCGTATTCCTTTGCTTCTCCCTTCCCAGGACAGCCTTCCTTCGTTTCTTCTTGATGAGCTGCTGTTTGCTCAGCCCAATTGGTCTGTGCTTTTTTTCTCCCTTTAGAATCTTAGCATTAAAAGGAACTTTGGAGGGTGGTCAGTCTCCCATTTGGCAAAAGAACGTTTTACCATTGTGATAATTAAAACTGTCCTTCTCACGTTAGGCCTGAAAGGTTCTCTGATCTACTTGTCCTGGTTTTGCATTCTTAGAGTTACGTAGAACACATCTATTCCCACCTCCACATGATACCCCTTACACAAGTGCCTTCTAAATTTTTCTCCAGGCCAGATATCTCCACTTCATCATGTGTCATTCTAAAACCCTTTACAATCTTGGTTACACGTTTCTGGATATGCTCCATTTTACTGATCACCCTATTAAAATGTGGTGCTCAGGGGCACCTGGGTGGGTCAGTTGGTCGAGCGTCCAACTCCTGATTTCGGCTCAGGTCACGATCTCGCAGTTCGTGGGATCGAGCCCCGCATCAGGCTGTGCGCTGACAGTGTGGAGCCTACTTGGGATTCTCTCTCTCCCTCTCTCTCAGCCCGTCCCCTGTGCGCACTCTTTCTCTCTCTCCCTCAAAGATAAATGAACTTCGGGTAAATAAAGAAGTAAATAAAATGCAGTACCCAGAACTGTACGCTTTTTAGCCATTAAGTCCTGGCCTGTCCCTGCTCCGTGTTCCATAATGGCCCAAGATCACCCTCACGCTTTCAGTAGCCATGTCATTTTGTTCGGTGGCAGGTTAAACCGTGTCCTTCACAGCTGCCTTTGGAAACCACCCCGATCAAATGTCCTAGTCGCTTTGTCAAGCCGGCCTTGGGTTCCTGAGAAAGCTGCTCGTGAGCCTCCCCGATGGCTCGATTACCTATAGCTTATTGCGGAAATGGGCTCCGTGCAGGTGCCACATTTCAGTGCCTGGGTTCCAGGCTGCTCTTTCTTCACAAACACAGTAACTCCTGCCCAGGCTCACGCCACAACATTGGACAGTGATGTTGGGAAATATTTTACTTCTCTCTTCTTTTCTTCTGTGGCTCAAGCTCACCTAGGGCTTCTGGTCACGCCCGCCCTGCCAGCATCGCCCCTGGTACCAAGGAAGAGAACTGAACCGAGACTAGACTGCAGTCAGTTATAGCTTTTACCAGCCACCCAGAGTTCAAGTACCTGGCCAGAGGCCATGCTGGCCACAGTGTGCTAATGTCCCATTTTAAAGAGGTGTCCCCTAGGGGCGCCTGGGTGGCTCAGTCGGTTAAGCGGCCGACTTCGGCTCAGGTCATGATCTCTCGGTCCGTGAGTTCGAGCCCCGCGTCGGGCTCTGTGCTGACAGCTCAGAGCCTGGAGCCTGTTTCGGATTCTGTGTCTCCCTCTCTCTGACCCTCCTCCCCCGTTCATGCTCTGTCTCTCTCTGTCTCAAAAATAAATAAACGTTAAAAAAAAATTTTAAAAAATAAAAAATAAAAAAATAAATAAAGAGGTGTCCCCTAAATACCAATAGCAATACCTGACTCGGACTTCCACAGTGAGCTTTGTTTCAAGTTAGGGTCCCATCTCCTTCTGTTCATTCCGATTTCTCTCCTCCTCGTGGGCACGTTTGTTTAAATGACCTAGTTCTCACGCTGTGTTACAGGCATCCAGGGATGAGTTCGCCTGCGGCTTCACTTCACCTACAAATAGAGGGAGTCTGACCGCTGACAAAGACACGGGTACTTCAGTCCTTTAAAGATGATACATCGCATGGCTGTTTAGAAATGCACCCTGTGCTTCTCTGGGGTGGTTTTTTTTGGGGGAGGGGATATTTCATAATAAAAACTATACATAGCATGATCTCTACTGAAGTTTAATTCAAATCTGACTCACACTGGCGGCCACTCTTTTTGTTTAAGTTTCCTTATCTCAGCTTGTTGAAAATGGAGCTTTGGGAGACTGACAGAAGAGGGGATAATGAGAAAAACACTGCCTTCCAATCCTCTTATCTGTCTCCAGGCTGGGACAAGACAGTTCCCTTTTCTGGGCCCAAGTCTCCTTATCCGTAAAATTATCTCTAAAATTGTGTGGCTTTCATTTATTACTTGCAAGGAACTTCTTGTAGCTTCATACATAGTAAAGTATTTCAAGAGGTAAAGAAAAAAAAAATCACCCTATGTTAGGCTTAGGGCATTTTGATACAATATAGAAATTTTACCTTTTAGATGACCAAGATCTATTCCCTGACATCTATCTTTATTTTAATTAACCAAGTACTTACTTTTAAAAATGTTTTTTGACCGTTCTTCCTGTTGGTGATAAGGACTTGGCTTTTTTCCAGCTTATGGGGCTTTTCAAAATGGACATGGGATTAAGAGGGAAGATTCAAGAGGTTCCCTCATCCCAGAAGGAGTAACAGGACTTCCAGATCAGAGCGGAACTGTTGAAAACGTAAGAACCTAAATATATGGGATAACCCTAGTAATACGTTAGGTGACGACAGCCTTTCTTTTTATGTAAGTAAAAGGCTTTCGACTCTCCTGTAGTCCATCCTGGACCTGTGAAAAGCATCCCATAATAATTCTTGGATGTTGTGGTGGTTCCTTCCTATTGTGGCAGCTGCTACTTGGATATTTAAAACTGTTTATGGAGGAGAAGGCATTCATCATTAAGAGTTCTGACTTTGAATACCTCCTTGAATCCTCACACACTGTAACCTGTTCTAGATAGGGCAGGTTCAGGTTTAAAATATCGAATGCACCTTGTCATTTAAATCCCTTCCCGGCAGGGTTAATTCAGCCTCTCGTGCTTTCGTGGTAGAGTCGTTAACATGGGAGCAAAACAGATTAGGTCCTCAAATTGATGATCTCAGTGTCCCAGCATCACTTAATCAGAATACAGTCTCTAACATGAAAGTTTGGGATATGTCTGCCTTGAACCAGAAGAAACCTCATTTTAGACCAATACAGCCTTGTCACACTGCTATGTAAGATCGTAGAATCATATAAAATTAGGCTTAGAATAAATTCCAGGGCGCCTGGGTGGCTCAGTCGGTTAAGCGTCCGACTTCAGCTCAGGTCATGATCCCGTGGTTCGTGGGTTCGAGCCCCATGTGGGGCTGTGTGCGGACAGCTCAGAGCCTGGAGCCTGCTTTGGATTCTATGTCTCCATCTCTCTGCTCCTCCCCCACTCACGCTCTGTCTGTCTCAAAAACAAATGAACATTAAAAATAAAATGAAAAAAATAATAATAAATTCCAACTCAATTTACAAATGAAAGCTGGGGTCGTGACACAGCTGTGGCAGGCCGGATCTGAACCCGGGTTTTCTGATTCGAGCAATGTTTCTCCTATACCACGGCATTCTTGGTGGGCATCAGAATAACCTGGGGGGCTTAATAAAAACAGATGGCTGGGCCTCACCCCCAGAATTTCTGATTCAGCCTGGGATGGGGCCTGCCAATTTGTACTTCTAAGTTGCCAGGTGATGCTGATGCCGCTGGCTGGGAACCCACCCCTTGAGAACCACTGGAATATACTTCCTTGAGCCTTGGGGTAAATAGTACTTTATTCACAAAGGTTCCCATTTCACGTCATTTAGAATTATGTCAACAGGCGCTGTCACAGGTAAGGCAGATAAAGGACAAAGAGGTTAAAGAGACTTGTGAATAATCTTTGGATTATTAATACTCTTATTCATATAAATCCCCGAACAAGTCAGATCTTGTCATGCCTAACAACTGATACTTTAACAAAAGTCATTAAATAATAGGAACATCGCTACTCTGTAGAAGTTCTAGTTTTGAAGCATCACTGGGTTCTCCTTGGTGTAATTATCGTGTATTATTGGCTCTTTTTTAAAACTAGAGGTTTCCTGGCCTATTATTTGTAGGGTGGGTTTTAAGAAACTCTGAAAGATTCGAATGAAAGCATTTCTATGCTTCCGTATACCTTAGTTAAGTTCCTCCATGCAAAAGGTGTTTTTCCTGGAAGAGCCACATCTGATTATTTTAATGTTTTTACTACTGCAAAAACCCACAGAACTTCTGGGAACAAAACAGGGTGTTCATGGCTATTCTGTTGGTGAAGACCGCAGGGTGATTTCTAGTGCTAATATTCTACGCAGTAGCAGCAAAGATTCGGCTCATGCACCTTCTAAGTATGATAAAAAAAAAAACAACAACCTGGGGTTTAGGTTTAGAATCTTCCCAAACAGGACTGCGGATACAAGCAGTTATTGAGTTGGGGTGCCTGGGTGGCTGAGTCGGTTGAGCCATGATCTCACAGTTGTGAGATCGAGCCCTGTGTCAGGCTGAGAATCTGCTTAAGATTCTCTCCCTCTCCCCACCTCCCTCTGCTCTTCCTACCCCCTCCAAACAAACAAAACCAAAAAGCCCGCAAATGGTTGAGTTCAAGGCTGTGGGAAACTACAGTACCGATATTGTTTCACAAAAGTCCTGTCTTTGTGTTGCAGACCCGACAGAGCTCTGCAAGGAACAGTATATCCCAGTATAACCGACTGGATCCGTATGAAATCAGAAGCCTCTTAATGTGCTACCTGTATATAGTAAAAATGATTTCTGAAGGTGAGTTGCCAGCAGATTAAGCACAATCTCTCCTACCCACCCACCCTCCCAGGTTCGTGCAACAAATACTTGATCGTCATCGGTAAGCAGAATACATGCACCGTAGAAACACATCTTTGGAGACCCTGACCTTTACGTGTTGGCTGTATTTTTAATTTCACATAGGATCGTTTGGGCCATACGGGTTTGATTCTTTGAATTTTTTTCAATTTCAAGTTTAATTTCTAAGATGAGACCATCGTTTTAGACGTGCTCAGTGTGTTTCTTCAGGCAGCACTTATAACGCATTAAATGACCGATGTAAACAGAAGGAAACCATAATAAGCGGAAGTCACATTTAATACTTTAGCTTTTATTTGACCCAGGATTTGGAACACAGAAGCAAACAAAAAGACAGGAGGGGGTTTTCCGAGGGGAACGAATGCCAGTGTTGTCTTCACAGAACCACTGTGTCGCACTGGACAGTGTCGAGTTCGTTTTCAGCCTCCGTTTTGTTGTCCCTCGGTGTTCTGTTGTATTATTTGCTGGTATTACCCGTTCTTTATATGATAGGATAACCAAAGGATTTTCATAAACTGCATGTCCTCTGGAAATAAAATCAGAAGGTTATCTTATTCCAAAATACCACATTTATTTACACAATTCCTTCCCTTCTTCCTTTTCTCAGTATTTTTACTAAAAAACCTGTATGCAGGAATGAAGAACATAAAAGCACCTGGGTTCTGATTATTATTATATCTTACTTATTTTCTATTTTTTGCTTTATTCTTAGTCAATATTACTTTCAATCTTCTTTTATAATAACTTAGGATATAAAAACATGAAATAATTTGATAGCTACCTAGCTAGAGAGACATTACAAAATAACTAGAGGGGCGCCTGGGTGGCTCAGTCGGTGAAGCGTCCAACTTCGGCTCAGGTCATGATCTCACGGATGGGGAGTTCGAGCCCCGCATCAGGCTCTGTGCCGGCAGCTCAGAGCCTGGAACCTGCTTCAGATTCTGTGTCTCCCTCTCCCACTCCCACTCTGTCTGTCTGTCTCTCAAAACTGAACGAACATTAAAAAATACATAAAAAATAATAACTAGATATGGGGTACCTGGATGGCTCCAGTCTGTTAAGCATCTGGCTTCAACTCGGGTCACGATCTCACAGTCTGTGAATTCGAGCTCCACACAGGGCTCTCTGCTGTCAGCACAGCTCTCTGCTGAAGCTCTCTGCTTCAGATCCTCGGTTCCCCTCTCTGCCCCGCCCCTGCTCGCGTTCTCTCATGCTCAAAACATAAATAAATAAAGCATTAATAAAAATAGCTAGATATGGGGCACGGGCACCTGGGTGGCTCAATCGGTTAAGCATCGGACTTCGGTTCACATTAGGATCTCACGGTTCATGAGTTTGAGCCCCGCATAGGGCTCTCGATGTCAGCACAGCGCCCACTTCGGATCCTCTGTCCTCTTCTCTATGCTCCTCCCCTACCTGCTCTCTCTCAAAATAGTTAAGTAAGTAAGTAAATAAGTAATCCTAAAAATAGCTAGATACTAATAACAAATACTAGAATATATTAATCAAATAGCAAAACAACTATAATCCTTAAGTTCTAAGACTATATGATTTAGAATAAAAATCAAAGATTATACTGAGACTATATAGGATGTCTTCCCTTGTTTTGGTAAAGAAATCAATAAAGGGAGATCATTTTCCATGCTGGCGGTATTTCATTCTAAGAGATAATGGATCGGTTAAACAACTACAGCCACAGCTCCCTGTTTTTGTTGTCCTGCAAAGCAGAAAGTGGGCATGTGCGGATAGTGACTGCGGCTGTGTGCGGGGGCTTCTGTTCAGGGTAATGACGATATTCTAACCCTGGGGGGATGGTTTTACATCTCTCTGAAAATACTATAAACTGTTGTCTTGTGCACTGTTTAAATGGGCCGTGTTATATGGCACATGAATGTTCTCAATAAATGTTTAAAAAAAAAAAAAAGGCCCAAAAGACACATAAAAAAAAAACCCACAAAAACAAAAAAAAAAAAAAAAAGAAAGTCGTTGAATACCACCCCAGCCCAGGGAAAGTAAGATGGGGGCAGGGGGAGGAAGAAAAGGAGGAGGGGGAGAGGTACTGATGACTGGTTCTTCTCTCCTCCACTCTGGTTGGCGTATGTGTGTGCACACGTGCACACACACGCCGCTCTGGTAGCCAGTGACGAGCTTCTGGCTGCCTTTTCAAAGTCATGGGTAAGACCATAACTGCTTTGTTTCTTGAGAACTTATAGTTCTTGCTTCTCTTGTAAACGTTGACCGTGCTTGTTGAAAATCTGTGGTCTTTGTTCATTAGGTTTTTCTTTCCTCTGCTCTTGCTTTTTGATGTTTAAAAGCACATTCCTCATAACTCATATACGGTCTGTGTCGTATCTCCTCTTTATCTTTTGTACGTGTAAAGTCCTATTCATCCTGTTCTGAAAAAAATCCGCTTCTGGATCTTTCTCAATGGATGTGTCCTAGTTACGTTGTCTTGCCTGGTAAATATTTTAGTCAATCTATGTACATTTAAGTGTTGAACTCTCACAAGTCCACACTCTTGAGGTCCTCTCTTGGCTTTCGATTCATAAACAGTAGCAACTTAAGTTCAACAAAAAAGACGGTAGACCTCTACATTTTTATATGGAGGTCGAACACTTCTAGAGAATGAACGTCGTTCTCTCTTTGGGGCTGTATTTGATTTTGATTCACTGGCAATAATTCACCGTTTTGATGTCTTAGGCATTTGCCCAACTTGTTTTGTTCTTGTTGTGCATATTATTTCCTGAGAGATGGAATCAGCGTCAGGGGTAAGAAATGGAATCAGAGTCACGGGTAGGAAACGGAATCAGAGTCACGGGTAATCAGTTACACAGTCTGAAGTGACAAGAAAATTGTCCTCTTGTTAAAGAAAAACATTTTTCTTGAGAGGATGAGGGGAAGTTACTTCTCCCTTTTTGGGGACTGTACCCTGGCTTTTCTCTTTATTCTGATGCTTTGGGTATCATCTTGAGGCTTGTTGGCACCATACCCTGCACCTGTAGGTTCATTAGTGTTCTTCCCAGTGGATCGTTCACTGGAAGCTGTCTGGTTCCCGCCGTCTCTTACAGGAAACCCAGTGCCGCGTTGCACATCACTAGCCATTAATCTTCTTTTCCCACCACTTTTTCCGCCAGAGTCAACAAGAGGTACACTTAAAGGGGAATCTTCCTTTGCCTCTATAAAAGAAGAAAAGATGCTACGTCTAGTATAAGTAGGCATATTTTCCTCTGAAGTTTCAGACACCAATTTAACAGGTGGGTTTTCTGAGGCAGAAGGACTGGGAAGGGCCCAGCTGAAGCCCACCCGACTTTTGCACTTCTGTGTGAAGGTCCTGTGTGTTGAGATGTGTTTCCTTTTTGGCCGGCCGAACTTTTCTTCCTGATTGTCCGAACCCTTGTGAAATCCATACCCCTTTTGAACATTGGGTGTAGGTGTTAAGATTGAACTTTCAGGGGACTTCGGGTTGGCACTGCTCTCTAAGGTGGACTTACTGCCTTGAGAAGAAATCATCTCAGGAGAGGTCTCTGGCACCTCAAAGAGGTCCTGACTGTAAAACGGGACCGGAAACTTCGAACTCTCTTGCAATTCCTTTTGAACTCCGGATTTCGGCTGGTCGGTATCTGATTCCAGTGTCGATTTCACGGGCGGATGCACCCGAGCTCCTTTACCAATCGCCCTGTCCGAAGGAACTGGCAGAGTCGCTTGAGTACAAGGAATTAAGTCCTCGTCGCTACTGAGAGAAGCGTTACGCTGTCGCTCGGTCATTCTCAGTTTTGCAGAAAGCCTTTTGTTTTCTTCTCTTAAGTTATTCCTTTCTGCGGTAAGCTCCATAATAAAGTGAAGGTTTTGTTGCTGGATCCCATAAAACTCATACTGCAGTATGTTCCTGTAGGTCTCGTTTATTAAACAGCGCTCGCATTCTTTCGAGTTTAACTGATCTCGCAAGTCACGAATGGTGCTGTTGAGGACTTTCTGTTGCTCGGTCAGCTCTTTAATTTTGGCTATGGAGCCCGTCGACCTTTTGTCAGCCAATCGCGCTTTCCTGAAACTGGCTAATTTTGCCTGTAAACGGCGTAGCTCTTTGTCATGGAGCTCTCTGAGCCTTAGCCAGGTCTTTTTAAATTCGTCAGACGACAGATCACATACACTAAACTGTAATTTCTCTTTTCCCGAAGGTTTCTTGCCACCTCCCCTGTTTCCTCTCCCCGCGTTCCCTCCCTGCATCATGTCTCACCGATTTGGGATTTAGAAACGGTTGAGATGGGCCAATGGCTTGACAGCGCCTTCGCGGCCGCCCACAAAATGGCGGAGGGGCTGCTGGCTAGAACTACGCCGCGGCACGAATGAGGCCTTCACCCGTTTTACAGACCTTCTCCGACGCTCTCTCGGGGCACAGGGCTGGCACAGGGGTGGCTCACGGCTGGACAGAAAGTTCTGGTGTTCCGGTGGAAAGGGGGCACCAGACTTTCGGTGGGAAAATCTGGTGCACGGGAGCGGGAAGATGGCGCCTCCACGCTGCCCCTTTGAGGAGAGGCCGGAAACCCAGTGGCTTCTGGGTTATCTGCGCTTCTGTGAGCGGAGACGCAACCAAACGCAGGAAGCGGGGGAGACCGGAAGTCACTGCTGGGATTTTTTTTTTTAAACAAATCTAATTTGACCTTATTTTAGCATTTTTATTCTTGAGGATCCGTGTTTTGTAATCACTGGAAACTGTCAATACTCATGGTCTTAAAAACAGTTGGAACTAAAGGCAAAATCCCTACGTTCCTCCCTCCTCCACCCCCCTCCCCATAGCCGACAGGGCCAAGTCTTCCATCCCTATCTTGCCCAGGTTGTAGCTGGGCTGGCAGTTTTGTCGTTTGCCGCTTTGGCCACAACCTATACGATTTTTACGTTGAGAAGAAGAGCTAGGGCACTATTACAGCTGAGTAGCCTAGAAAAGGAATGGAGAGGGGCACCTGCCTGGCTCAGTGGTAGGTAGAGCTTTGCCGCTCTTGATCTCGGGGTTGTGTTTCCAGCCCCACCTTGGGTGTAGGGATTACTTAAAAATAAAATCTAAAAAAAATAACAATAAAAAATAAAGGAGAGTTAAGTGGCGGCAGCCTTTCGTCTCCTCCTCCCCCTCTTCCCCCTCTTCCCCTTCTTCCCCCTCTTCCTCCTCTTCCTCCTCTTCCTCCTCCTCCTTCTTCTCCTTCTTCTTCTTCTTCTTCTTCTTCCTCTTCCTCTTTCTCTTCTTCCTCTTCCTCTTCTTCCTCCTCCTCCTCTTCTTCTTCTTCTTCTTCTTCTTCTTCTTCTTCTTCTTCTTCCCCTTCCCTTTCCCCTCCCCCTTCCCCCCCTTTTTTTAAAATCTCCCTAAGTAGCTCTTTGGAAGTAAAGAAAGCAGGCCAAAAGAGAAGTATATGCGATAGGTTGTAGGGAGTTTTATATCTGAAACAGTTTGGTATATGTGCGTGGACATATGGTTAAAAGATAAACAGCATATTTTTAAGAGTTTATTTGAGCAGAAGTTGACTAGAATCAGGTAGCATTCAATCTAGCAGATAAAATTCCTGAGGAACTATACAAAATGAAAGCCTTTTATAGGCGAAAGGGAGCTGAAACAAGAAAGTTTACACAAGGAAAGAAAATGGGTTGGTTATTGCAAAGTCACTTTTTTTTTTAGGGGATGCTAGGGCTCCATCAGACAGATTGCCTTACTAGTGCTGACCAGATGATTCCTAATTGACCAGTTTAAGACTCCATTCCTGGGAGAGCCCAAACTGTTATTGTCTTGGTTTGGTGATGTGGGGCTTAGCATAAGCAACTCCATTTTCAGCCTGTTTTTTTTTTTTTTTTAACTGTGTGTGTGTGTGTGTGTGTGTGTGTGTGTGTGTGTGTATTTACATATTACCAGGACTTCAGAGTTTATAATGCAAAGACAAAGAGGAAGAAAAAAATCTCTCTCCCAAAGCTTAAAGTTCTCAAACTTTTTGGTTCACAGAGCCCTCTGAGTAGCAGGCAAAGGTATTTGACCTTCCCTTGGAGAAAATACACATAAGTACACCCCGGTGCAGAAAATCTGAAGAAGTCCATTAAAAACCCTAGCTCTGCTTCCCTTCCTCTGTCTCAGGAATGATATGAAGATGAGTATCGGCTGTACAGAAGAATATTTACAAAGCAAATAAAAATAATCGTTAGAAGAGTTACAGATTAAGCAATACATTTGGGATTCTTTCAAACAAATACAGTGTGTGCATTGGGCAATGAGATGGGAGGGAAGGCTCTAGATGAAACAGCTGGCTGTGGGTGGATGGTTGTTGAAGCTACGTTGTTGGTACTTTGGGGTGCACTGTACTCATTGCCCTACTGATTTCAAGATCCACCACCTTGTTTATTTCATTTTCAGATACTCTCTTAACTTACTGGAATAAAGTATCTCCTCAGGAGCTCATAAACATTCTCATACTTCTAGAGTAAGTCCTGTTCATTTATTTTCATAAATTTTCTCCTTATTCGGGGGATAAAATAATAACCTTTGTTTCCCAACAGCTTAATTGCTAATAATGTAGGAAATACGCGACTCTTTTGGCAACATCAAAGCTAGCAGTACAGGCTCTTCACACAGATAGGAGAAAACATGGCGGTGGAATGCTTACGCCACCATAGAAATTAGCTAAGAGATAGACCGTCTTTCAGCCCAGCAGCAGTCTTTCTGTGATCTGGAAGAGTAGAGATGGCCTCAGCTGTCCGAAAGCATTCATTTGGAGTAGATGCTGGCTTAAGGGAGCAGCTTCAGTGACTGGAATTTGGAATTTGTACTCTTCTGTAGAGCTGAGTAATTCTACCAACGTCAGAACCGTGTGTGTATGTATATATACATATATGTATGTACATATGTTACGTTATATATATTACATGTATATATTCGTATACGTATGTGTTATGTTGTATATTATATGTATGTATACATACATGTGTATATATCGTATCATATATATTATATGTATATACGTATATAATGCATTTCCATTCCAAAGCTGTTGGGGGAAAATTCAGTCTTGCTTCCTAGTTCAAGGTGGGAAGTTGCCCTAGATTGTTTGCTGAGCTATTTGTACATCCTTACTCAACGCTAAAAGAAAAATTAGAATGAATCAGAAGAAATTTTCAAACAGCACACAGGGGCACCTGGCTGGCCCAGTCGGTAGAGCATGTGACTCTGGATCTCAGGGTCATGGGTTCGAGCCCCACGCTGGGCATAGAGCTTACTTTAAAAATAAATAAGTAGCGCACCTAAGTGATGTTTTTAGGTGCATGTCTTTCAAAACAAAGAGAGGATAATCCATGCACGTTTATTAAAGGCTTTCAGAATTTTGCAGAAGATGTCAGCAAACAAAATGGTAGTTAAGGTTTTTGAAAAAACTATACTGGGGCACCTGGGTGGCTCAGTCGCTTAAGCGTCCGACTCTTGATTTCCGCTCGGGTCATGATCTCACAGTTTGTGAGGTCGAGCCCTGCGTTGGGCTCTCGCTCCCAAGCTGTCAGCGTGGAGCCTGCTTGGGATTCTCTCTCCCTCCCTCTCTCTCTGCCTCTCCCCTGCTCGCGCATGCTGTCTCTCTCGCTCTCTCTCTCAAGATAAATAAACATTAAAAAAAAACCATACTGAAACATTTACTAATGAAAATATATGATGTTGGGGGGTTGCTTTCAGAAAAATACAGGAAGTAGGGAGAGTGGGGGGAGAGCAGGGACACGTCCAGAGTAGAGGTTAAACAAGAATGGCCATAAGTTAATAACCGTTGGAGCTGGTGGGTGCTGGGTATGTGCGAGTTCAGTATGCTGTCCTCCCAACTTACGTATGTGTTTGAGATTTTAAATAATAGAAAGTATTCTAGTGTCATTATAAAAATATACCATTTGCTCCAATTTTTAGGGCTTAAGAAGCTTCTCCTTAGGTATTAATGGCTATGCCAGAGATCTTTGCTATGAAACGTTAACAGAGCACAATGTAGAATCATCACTTACATTGACAGGTTTTTAAAATGTCATTAGAATTGTATGTGAAGGCATGGAGCTTTTTGGTGCTAATGTAGTTGTAGCAAACAAATCTAGAAAGATACAGTATCACAAGCCCACAAGTAGTTATGTGTACATGTCTGTATACCAAAACATATTATTGTAATATGGTTTAAATGGGCCACTCTTTGTAACACCCGGGTTTTCAGCTATGATGTCTTAAAATGTAAAGCGTGGTAGTATCTTACTAACGTGCTATTTTTTTTTTCCTTCTAGAGTATGTTTGTTTCACTTTAGGTATATGGGGAAAAGAAACATAGCAAGGTAATTCCCACTGCAATTTCCACTTTTTTCCTTCTATTCCAACAGAGGGCAGTCTTGATCATACCATGTAAAACCTAGATTGTTCATTTTGAGTTCACATGAAGGTGCCCATGATGTATTGAATATATCTCAACTCAAAGTGTAAATTAAACTAATGCGAACTGATACATTTTTTAAGTTTTCCAAAGGGTAGTGGTTAGCCCGATACGCAGAGTTTCTGTTCTAATTCCTAGAACAGATGCTTGTCTTTCCTGGAAGAGGTGAGAACGGGCTTAGATCCAGGAGAAGGCAGGAAATCATGAAGTGGGAACAGCTATAAGGTCTGTACTTATAGCAACAACCTGTTAATATTGACTTCAGCTACTAAGGTAAATAGAAATCCCCAACAGTGATTGGGACGTGCATTCTATGTTAGTTATTTTCTTTTTTTTTGTTACCTAAGTCTTAATGAGATAAATACTTTAGAAAATGTTTGAGGGACCCTAAGGAAAAGATTACTTATTCCAATAAGATGTATTTTAGAGGTAGAGTTAAGAAGCTCAAACAGAGTTCTTTCTTTTTAAAAAAATTCACATTCCATGGCACTTCCAAAAACTACAGAGGCACTTTGGATGGAGTTTATTGCTAACTTTCGGGAACATCCTAATAGTAGGTAATTCAGGTGACAGTTTCCACTGTCTTTCCTGGTAACTTGGAGCTGGCATGGTAACTACCACCATGAGCTTTCACCTCTAAGATTCTGCCAGTTCTCACAGTTTACTAGAGGACAGTCAAACTCCTTTTCTTTCTTAGTTCCCCTATGACCCAGCTGTAGTTGTTTTTGTTTTTGTTTTGGTTTTTTTAACGGAATCTTAAAACTGAAGGAAAACAAAAATTGGCACATCCATCAATAGACATGTTTACAGAGTAAAAATTCCTGATCCAGATTGAACTCCAGTCCAGAAACAGAGTAGATTGGCCTTCATTCTCGCACACCTAACCCCAGGAACTCTCCCCACCTCATTTCAATTCTGAGTATCCCCTCTCACTGTTTTCTCGGACTTCTGCCCTTCCTCACCTTTTGGGAAAAGACGGAATCTTACTGCAGTGTTGGCTAGTTGACTCTGAGGTTTCCGAGAAGGAGGGAAGTAAGAAACTTTTTTTCTAAATGCTTTAATTATATGCTCATAGTAAAAGCTCTTTTAAATACACTTCAAGGGGTACCTGGCTGGCTCAGTCGGTAGAGCATGTGACTCTTGATCTCAGGATTGTGAGTTCGAGCCCCACGTTGGGTATAGCAATTACTTAAAAATAAGATCTTTAAAAAATAAAATAAATAAATACACATTAAAACTCCATACAGTTTCCAGTGATGATGCCTCATTTAAGCCAAGTAATAGTTGATAGAATATTGAACATAGTACACTCTTTATGTGGAAACCTAATCAGTTATTAGTTTAAAAAAAAAAATCGAACAATGAGATCTATTATTAGAGTACTCCCTTTCCTAACTTTAAAATTTATTTTAGGGTGCATGATGCCTGGCTGTCAAAGCACTTTGGGATAGACCGAAAATCACAAACCATGCCAGCCCTTCGAAACAGATCAGGAGTAATGCAGGCCCGGCTTCAGCATCTTAGTAGCCTGGAAAGTTCATTTACACTTAATCACAGTAAGTAAAAACGTGGGTAGGATACCCGTTTGAAATACACATGTAATGCGATTTAACCTTACAGCAATTCTAGCTTAAATCACCAGCACGACTGGAAATGACTTTACATTCGTGGATATATTTGCATACCTCTGTGATTAGGTACAATCCTTTCATCATACCTGGATATCTAATAAAACATGCATGGATTTCCAGCGATTTTAGGTAATGGTGAAAAACCACCGTTAGTTCAGTATTAAAGAAATGAGCTTTTTCCCACTGAATTGCTGTTCTCATCACATTATTTTACACTGGATATCCTTCATTCCTATTGTTAAACTTCAATGCAAATAGTGGCATCTTTTTTTTTTTAAGAATTTTTTTTTAAGTTTATTTATTTATTTTGAGAGAGAGAGAGAGCATGAGCAGGGGAGGGGCAGAGAGAGGGAGGGAGAGAAGGAGAATCCCAAGCAGGCTCTGCACTGTCAGCGTGGAAAATGGCATCTTAATATAATAGTATATGTAATATCTGTTTAGTATATAGAATGTCCGTTCATTCAGTGATTTTTCAGGGATTACACATACTGAGCTGACTGCAGAAATCAAAGAACTGTAAATACTATTTTGACAAAGGTATATTTCACACGTGTTGGAATGTTGACGAGGAGAATCCGACCAGGAGAGAAATGTTGCCCCATCTGGGGAAGCCGGAGGGTTCTGTAAATAGAAGTGATCCTCTGAAGAGCAAATATTAATAAGTCAAAGAGAAAACTTTCATTTCCATACAGTCCTCTGGAGGTCACAGAAAAGGAAGCCAGCAACACTGGCTTCGTAATAAGGACTAATAATAAAAACAAATATCCTGAGCAGATGGAACCTGAGCTAATAATAGACTCAAGACCTTTAAAAAAAAAAAAATGCAAGTTTTACAGCCTTCAGCTTTGCTCTCATCGCTTGTAAAAACATTATGGACCTACTTCCTTCAGTTGGCCCGGATGCTTTGTTTTCCTTCTGATTTAGAAACAACGGTAGGAGGCTGTATGTGATGTAGCTGATTGTCTATTTCTCATTTTTGCGCACATAATTTCCTGTGTCATTCCTAGTTACATCACCGCAGTTCGTCACTGAAATCGTGTCTCCGAAGAAGGGGGCACGCAATTTGGTGTTGCAGAGCTCTGGATATGGAGCTGAAGTTAGAATTGGCACAGTTGACGAAGCAGGAGCGTATTTGATTAAGGGATAAATACAGCAAGACTCGTTAGGTCTGCAGGCGTCAAGAGCGTCTTTTCTTCTCGCTTGTCTCTCTCTGAGTCTTCGGGGGGAGCAAGAAGCATTCAAAACTGGCACGCGCGTCTCTGCGTTGGGCAGTTTTCATTTACTTTTTTTAATCTTAGGTTCTGCGACCACCGAAGCGGATATTTTCCATCAGGCCCTTCTTGAAGGCAACACTGCTACCGAAGTGTCCCTGACAGTACTAGATACCGTCTCGTTTTTCACCCAGTGCTTCAAGGTAAAAATGAAAAGTTAGAATTCAGTTGGTGTCAAGGAACAGTCTGGAAACTTGCGTGACAGACCTTGTTTGCCCGGCTCCTGCGTGACCTTGGGAATTCACAGAGACTCACTTTCCCCTGGCCGTAGAGGGAGGGGTTGGGGCTGATTTGCCCTTTAGCTTCCTTCTGCCGCTTAAATTCTGCTGTTTGATTTTTGTGTGTTTCACAACCGCTTTCCATCACACTTTTATGAAGAATATGTCCAGTCATTTTTAGCTCGGCTTGGGATTGAGTCGGTTTGCCCAAATACCCAGCACGGTGAGGTGCTCTGCCAGGGCTGGGTGATGTCCAGGCAGGCTGGCTGGCTTTCCTAGCCAGGCGCCTTGTGCTTTTTCTCAGATGTCCGCCTCTCAATACAAATCGTCGTTACTGGGATTTTACAAAAGGAGAAGGTTAAAAGCAGTGATCTTGCAGGGTTGTGGAGGGAGTAAAATGAGATAATGACTAGGAGAGTGCTTTGAAGAGTAAAAATGACCTAACTGTAACATAATGTAACTTTAGTGGGAGAACTCAAAATTGAAAAATCTTGCCTGCTTTCCCCTGAGTTACACAGACCGATACTTTTCTTCCCTCTTCTTTCTGTAATTCAGTTCATGGCTTCAGCCCTCCAGATTGATTATGGAAGCCTGGCCTGGGCTTTTCAGGTCAGGGATTGTGATCCTTGAAAATGGAACGATTATGATCCTTGAAAATGGAATTAGATACTAATAAGACATAGGCTACAGAATTTCTTTATCAAGGATTAGGTTTGTTCTGATTTAAAATGCAGATACTTCTTATTTGACAAACATGTCTTGGCCCAGAGGTCAGGCACCATCTTAAGCACTTTACAACTATTAACTTACTTTTTTTTTTTTTTTTCCTATTTATTTATTTATTTATTTATTTATATATGAAATTTATTGTCAAATTGGTTTCCATACAACACCCAGTGCTCATCCCAAAAGGTGCCCTCCTCAATACCCATCACCCACCCTCTCCTCCCTCCCACCCCCCATCAACCCTCAGTTTGCTCTCAGTTCTCAACAGTCTCTTATGCTTTGGCTCTCTCCCACTCTAACCTCTTTTTTTTTTTTTTTTCCTTCCCCTCCCCCATGGGTTCCTGTTAAGTTTCTCAGGATCCACATAAGAGTGAAACCATATGGTATCTGTCTTTCTCTGTATGGCTTATTTCACTTAGCATCACACTCTCCAGTTCCATCCACGTTGCTACAAAAGGCCATATTTCATTTTTTCTCATTGCCACGTAGTATTCCATAGTGTATATAAACCACAATTTCTTTATCCATTCATCAGTTGATGGACATTTAGGCTCTTTCCATAATTTGGCTATTGTTGAGAGTGCTGCTATGAACATTGGGGTACATTACTTGCACTGTTAACTTACTTTTTTATTGTGGGGCCAGGGGCGGGAAAGGGGAGTGATTGCAAATGAGATCCAGGGTGGGGTTTTTTTTGAGGTGATGAGAACGCACTAAAATTGGATCGTGACGGTTGAACAGCCCTGTAAATTTCCTAAAAATAATTAAGTCATGTATGTAAGATAGGTCAGTTTTATGGGGCATAAACTATAACCCAGTAAACTCAAACATACAAACACGAACCCGCTTTTACTCCTTAGAATAGCTCTATGATGTAGACAGTTATTATTCCCCTTTTAATGTTTATTTATTTTTGAGACAGAGAGAGACAGAGTATGAATGGGGGAGGGTCAGAGAGAGGGAGACACAGAATCTGAAGCAGGCTCCAGGCTCTGAGCTGTCAGCACAGAGCCGGACGCGGGGCTTGAATTCACAGACCGCGAGATCATGACCTGAGCCGAAGTCGGACGCTCAACCGACTGAGCCACCCAGGCGCCCCATTATTCCCCTTTTAAAATGAGGAAACTGGGGCTCACGGGGAAAGTGATGTCGCCTAGCTGATCAGTGGCAGACTCAGGATTCAGATCCAGGCCAGTCCTCACAAGAATCCGTGCTTCTAACCACTACACCCTGCCTCGAAGTAGTGCACTAAGGAAAGAACCAGAAAAGTCTTATTAATTCAGGGATTCTGGCTCCTGATGTCACCATCAGTTAGCTCTGTCACCATTTGGTATATTATTTTGTGTTTTTTGTTGTTACTTTGGGTCAAATTGTAACTCCCTAATTCGTTTCTTCAGGGATGGTCGGCCTAGAGAAGTCAGCCAATGCTTTAAAAAAAAAAAAAAGAAAAAAAGGTTCACAAACCCGTAGCTACTGCTCTACAGTTTGGTGTTTCTTTTCTGCCTCTGTTTGCGAGGAGTAAACATTTTACATAGTCTGTTCAGTTGTCGTGCCCCTTATGATCTCTCTTCCTGAGGTTTGTCCCCGGTAGCCAAATACATCTTCTACTAAACATACTTTTAAAAGTAAATTAGATAATAGACTTTTAAAATAGAAATGATATTGTCCAGTATTCTTACATTATTTAGTCTTCCCCGAAGAAATACAAAGCCTGGTTGCCTTGTGTCCATTTTTAATTTACTGATTTCTTCATTGAGAAGCAGTATGGTTAATACTGCGTAATAGTAATAGGTTAAGAGGGGCGCCTGGCTATTTCATTCTGTGGAGCACGCAACTCTTGACCTCGAGGTTGTGGGTTCAAGCCCCACGTTGGGTGTAGAGATGACTTAAAAAGAATAAAATCTTTGAAAAAAAAATATTAACAGGTTCACAGAAAATATTCTTCCCGTACTAGTTCTGTATTTGCAGTGCTACATTGGAAAAATCCTTTTTTTTCATCTGTTTGAAATGGCGGAATTAAGTGTAAACGTAGTTTGTGTGGTATTTTAGGATTTCCAACTTGAAAGACAGCACAAATGTCTCTAAGTTGTATTAAGCTTTTTCTTTTTCTGAAACTTTCAAGCAGTGGCTTGATAAACAGGTGTAAGTAAAGTTCGCTCTCTCATTGGGGGACGGGCAGCATAAACTATTTCTGCAAAGTGTATTTTCGTTGTTGTTGTTTTGCAGAGTCAGCTTTTAAATAATGATGGCCACAACCCATTAATGAAAAAAGTATTTGATATCCACCTGGCTTTTCTTAAAAATGGACAGTCTGAAGTGTCACTGAAACATGTTTTTGCCTCACTGCGAGCTTTCATCAGTAAGGTAAGGAGAAAAGCTTTATAGCTGCTGGCGGGCTCCATCTGCCGCATGAAAGAAAGACGGCAACGGTGATCGTTGCAAGGACATCTACAAGCCTCAGATAATGAAGCTCTGAAGTACAGAATAGCGAAATACACAAAGAGGACCCACCCAAAACCCCTTAAAATCTGAACGTGCTTTTTGCTTTTTTGTTTTAATTTAAATTTTAATTAATTTACTTCAAAACTTTTTTTAATGTTTACTTATTTCTGAGAGAGAGCCACAGTGCGAGCAGGGGAGGGGAAGGGAGAGAGGGAGACACAGAATCCGAAGCAGGCTCCAGGCTCCGAGCTGTCAGCAAAGAGCCTGCGCGGGGCTCGAACCTGAACCCACAAACCGCGAGGTCATGACCTGAGCCGAAGATGGACGCTTAACCAACTGAGCCGCCCAGGTACCCCTATTTATTTTTTTGAGAGAGAGAAACCGTGTGTGCCCATGCACGTGTGGGGGAAGCGCAGAGGGAGAGAGAGAGGGAGAGAATCTTAAGCAGGCTCCACACTGGGCACGGATCCCGGCGCGGGGCTCCATTTCAAAACTGCGAGACCATGAGCTGAGCCCAAAATCAAGATCAGATGCTTAACCGACTAAGCCGCCCAGGCACCCCCATGCTTTTTGCGTTTTATTTCACCTTGTCATTCCTTCCCGTTTTCAGCAGGCCCCTTTGAAAAGTATTGTTTTCAAATTACCAACTTTGCCAGTGTTTCTTCTGGTTTGCTTCTTTTGAAACCATTCTCGAGACGCTGAGGATCTAGAAGTTCTCAGTGCACTTACGTCCAAGCACGCGGAAAGCAGAGACCAAGTTTTATAGCCTTTATAGGTCTATGCGTTCAGATGAATGAATTCTGCCTTTCCGTGCTAATTGTGTCTGCAGGCTTTACATTTTCAGGCTGCTTACCTCATCTCAACAAAAACCTCAGACCAGGCTTTTAGGAATAAATACGACGGAAAGAGTTAGCAAAAAATTGATTTCTTGTCTGTTTTTGGTAGCTTGTAAACATAATAAAAAGCATCATAAACCAGGATGGAGTTAAAATTATGGAAAGGCACAGCCTAGGCTTCCACTCTGGTATGTAAAACTCCAACAAGACCAAGAAATTCAATTAGTTGATTTGTGTAGTGGAACAGCTAAGCATGGAACACTTTTTTTGCCATCATTCTTTGTCTGGAAGCTTATTGCGTTTAGTTGATGGAGAACTTAGGTGGATTTGAAGGTTGTTTTTTAATTGCCACTCCTTAATATAATTTTTGAATAAAGAAGTATCCGGAGAATTGAGTTCAACAGAAGCACATTATAAGGAACTAAGGGGAGAAAAAAAAGAAAAGAAAGAAACTAAGGGGAAGAGATTCAGAAATATTTCATTGACCAAACAGTTACTGGATAGGTACTTACTGGTGTTGGATACTTTGTCAGGGATACAGTCTAAGGGCTTATTGTCCAGTAGAGGGAAACACACACACACACACACACACACACACGAATGAATACCATTAGAATAAAAGAAGTCTATATAGGGAACCGAGGGCTGGCTGGAGGAGGAGAAATGTTCTAATTTGGCAGAAGTTTCCCCGTAGCAGTAGCGATAGAACTTAGTATGGACTGAGCAAGAGAGGAGACTGAAGAGGTAAATGGGGACCAGATGGTTATGTACTCATCCTAGGGATTAGACTTCCTCTTTTAGGCATCGGGAAGCATGGGACCAACACAAAAAGATTTGTGTTAAGAGCAGATCGGTGCCAATGGGGAAAAACTCTCTCAAAAGTAGTGTGGACGGTGGATTGGTGGCAGTACTAAATAAAGGTGGGAAGAAGACTTACTACAGTAAGCTAGGAAAGAGATGAGGACCTAAATTAAGGCAGAGATGGAGAGCCAGAGGCAGACATAAAACATGGGAAGGAAATGGAATTGATAGGATTTGGTCATCAGCTCACCGATTGGATGGTGGAGTAGGGTGGGTGATGTGAAACATAGAGAAAAAACTACATTTGGGGTAAAAGCTCATGAGTTCTGTTTTGTTTTAGGCCATCCAGTTAGAGCTGTTAGGACTGGCAGTTGGATATATGGATCTTTGCTCTGGAGAGTGATCTGGGTTAGAGAGCTAGACTTGGAGTCGTCCGTCCATCCATCCATCCATCCATCCATCCATCCATCCTGTATTTACCAAACACCTTCTCTCGGTCTGGCCCTGTACTAGGTACTAGAGATACAGTGGTGGAGATACAAAAGAAACATAGTCTGCTCTCATGAAGCTTTTAGTCTAGTGAAATAAACAAGTGAATTAACTGGTAATTATAAGTTCTAGGAAGGAACGGAAGGTGCTAAGATAGAGAATAAGGATTTGTGGGAGATCCCTTACTTTAGATAGGCTTATCCCTTTTAAAATGAGACCTGAAATACAAAAAGGGGCCAGCTGTTTGAAAAGCTCAAGGAAGAACACTCTAGGGAGAAGGACATGCATAGGCAAAGGCCCAGAAGCTCTGGGAACTGAAAGGCCCAGTTTCACTGGAACATAGTGAACTAGGGAGATCAGCAGCATAAGAGTGGTAATTGAAGCCATGGGAGTGGTTTAATTTCCCCTGGAGAACATGTAGAGGAAGAACCCTCCCCCAACCTCCCCCCCACACACACACACACAAAGGTCAAGAGCACTACATGGGAGAAAAACAACATGGAAGGGGCTGGAAAAGAACTCAATGGAGATGAGAGGGGAACAGTCACAGAAGTAGGAAGAAAGGCAAAAAAGGAGGATATCCTGGAAGCCAAAGGAGAAAAAAGTTTCAACGTTATTATGAGGTATGGAGCCGTCTAATAAGGTAAGGAGGAAAGGAAATCCATTGGGATTGGCAGTTAGGAGGTCATTGATGATTTTGGCCATTGCCCACTCAAAGAAGTGTGATGGAGGTAGAAACTAATGATAGGGGATTAATTACACTACTCCCATGCCCTCCCTTACACCTTTATTTTCATACTAGAGTATCTTGCCTAGCAATATTTGGTCTAATCTGGTGAAACTGTTGATGAGATTTCCCAATTGCCAATCAGAAAACGTTCATTAAACATTCATTATCCGCATAGCATTGTACTCGGTGTTAAGGTGATTACAAAGAAATAGATTCTTGGGGCTCCTGGGTGGCTCAGTCGGTTAAGCATCCACCTTCAGCTCAGGCTGTGATCTCACGGTGGTTGGATTTGAGCCCCGCGTCGGGCTCTGTGCTGACAGCTCAGAGCCTAGAGCCTGCTTCGGATTCTCTGTCTTCCTCTCTCTCTCTGCACCTCCCCCACTCACACTCTGTCTGTCTCTCAAAAACAAATAAACATTAAAAAAACAAGAAGAAATACATTCTTGGGGCACCTGCCTGTCTCAGTCGGTGGAGCATGTGACTCTTGAATCATGAATTTGAGCACCACGTTGGGCATAGAGATAACTTAAAAAAAAAAAAAAAAAGGTTCCTATAACATGGGTTTAAACTCAAGATTCCCAAGGAATAATTTTTTTTTTAATTTTTTTTTCAACGTTTATTTATTTTTTGGGACAGAGAGAGACAGAGCATGAACGGGGGAGGGGCAGAGAGAGAGGGAGACACAGAATCGGAAACAGGCTCCAGGCTCCGAGCCATCAGCCCAGAGCCCGACGCGGGGCTCGAACTCACGCACCGCGAGATCGTGACCTGGCTGAAGTCGGACGCTTAACCGACTGCACCACCCAGGCGCCCCGCCAAGGAATAATTTTGAAAGGGTGGCCCTCTAGCTTCCCACTCCCTGAAAAAATCCATTGTGTGCTCTCAAAGCAACTTCCTGCTTGCTTAGACATGTAAGCATGGGAGATTGTAACAAGCCTATGTTATGAATAGTTTATCTTCCACAAAGCAGCCTGAATACATTTTCAAAGTAATAGCCACTTGGCTGTTTTGAAGATTGAGCATAACTTTTGTACTCTCTTTCTAACGCCACAATGTATCTTACTCAACGACTATTTATGAGAAGACTCACTTGCGGATGTTTGTGGGCGTATACTTTGCCTATACCCCAGTTTGTTAAAAGATCAACTTTACTTGCTGATTAGATTCCCACTATAATTTTCTCAGCATTTGGGAGTTCGGGACATAAGGAACTCTTTAAATACACAGCAAAAGAGTAAATATTGCAGACTGTCTTTCCCATTTTCAAAGCCCAAACTGAGACCCATCAATCATTCATCATTTCAGCCATTCATTAATTTAATACGTACTATCAAGAACCTACTTATTGGGGCGCCTGGGTGACTCAGTTGGTTAAGCCTCTGACTCTTGATTTTAACCCAGGTCATGGTCCCAGGGTCATGGGATCAAGCCCCGTGTTGGGCTCCACGCCCCGCGTAGGGCCTGTTTGGGATTCTCTTCCTCTTCCCTGCTCTGCCCATCTCCCGTGCTCGCACATGCTCGCTCGCTCTCTCTCTCTCTCTCTCTTAGAAAACACAAAAATAACCCAAAAACCAAAAACAAAAGAGCCTACTTATCGTCTTTTCCAGACCATCGTGAGCTCTTCTCGGATCTGTAGCATTTACTGTCTGCCCCGCACATTTGTGTCGTGACCTATCCGCTGACTTGAATTGTTCTATTATTAATGTGTGCCAGTCTCCGGTTCTCTGGAGCAGAGCCCTGAGCTTAGTTTGGTTTTGTGTCCTCGAGGCACTCGGTACAGTTGTGAGTGAGAAGATGGAAGGCGTTGGATGGGTGAGTGATTTGGGGGGGAGTGGGTTTCCGGATACTTACTTCCGCTTTTCCTGCTCTTTAGTTTCCCTCCGCGTTTTTCAAAGGAAGGGTTAACATGTGTGCCGCATTTTGCTACGAGGTTCTCAAGTGCTGCACCTCGAAGATCAGCTCAACCAGGAACGAGGCATCCGCGCTTTTGTATCTTCTGATGAGGAACAACTTTGAGTATACCAAGAGGAAAACCTTTTTGAGGACCCATCTGCAGGTCAGTGAACACCAAAGCTCCTGTTCTCTCTTCTGTTCCCTCTTTAGCCTCTAGATCGAGGCCTGGCGATACTCGGTCCACGACGGTAGCGGTTAGCCACCTAGGTCTCCCCTGAGTGCCTGACCGTGCCGTCAGCGTAGAATACACGTTGGTGTTGGACGGCCGAGGGCACAAAAGTAAAATCTCGCCGTTGTTTTATGCTGACCTTACGTTGACGTGATAGTATGGACATAATTGGGTGAAGTAAAACCTATTAAATTGCACCTATGTCTTTTTGCTTTTTAACGTGGCCACTGGACGCTTTAAAATTACGAATGTGGCTCACCTATTTCTGTTGGGCAGTGCTGCTCCAGAGTGTAGATGTGAAGAGCCCAGACTCTAGGGCGGAGTCCCAGATTCCCACTCACTGTGCGACCTTTAGCAACTGCCTGAGTCTCTCAGTGCCTCAGTTTCTTCATAGGTGAAATAGAGGCAAGTGTCTGTACCTCCCTCATAGGGTTTCATGAGGATTAAGTGAGATAAGGAAATACCACACCGAATATTGGTTGGAGAACATGACCGGTGAGAGCCCGTACGTTACGGTAACAGGTCTTTTAGTTTGTTTTTCACGTTCCAGCATGCCCAGTTTGTAAAGGATGAGAGACGGCTCAAGGTTTAGTGGAAAGCATGGGTTTTGGAAGCAGACCTACCTGGGTTTAAATCCTAGTTCGGCTACTTGCTTACCATGTGACCCTAGGCGAGTTGCTCCGTCTGCCTTTAACCGTGTGCCTCATCTGTGAAACGAGGTATTGTCGTCACCCCCCTATTACGAATGGGGAAAGTGAGGCACAGAAGGGTTCCGTAGATTCCCCACAGCCACACGGTGAATAATTGAGAGAGTCAAAACTTGAAGCGAAGGCAGTTTGACCCTAGAGCTTGTGTTCCTTGTTCCCACAAAGCCCTGCTTCCCGGGAGCGGCCATCGACAACTTAACGTGAATCATTTAGGTAATCATCCAAGGGAGCTTGAGAGATTCAAATCCCCATCAAAGGCCCTTCCGTCCACTGCTGTCTAAACTAGACAGACCCCAGCGAGAAGCCAAGAAGGGAGCCAAAGCCCTGGAGTCGGGAGTGTGGCACACGGAAATAGACCAGCGAAAGGCGGGCGAGAGGCCGTCAGAGACAAACGTCATTTGTTCCCGGCTTTGCCGGAGCTACTCCTTAGCAAAGCGTGTTTACAGTGGGGGTCTGACCGCCCCTGTTAGCAGTTCATGATTTTGAAAACCGTTTTAAAATTTTTTTTTTCAACATTTATTTATTTTTGGGACAGAGAGAGACAGAGCATGAACGGGGGAGGGGCAGAGAGAGAGGGAGACACAGAATCGGAAACAGGCTCCAGGCTCTGAGCCATCAGCCCAGAGCCTGACGTGGGGCTCGAACTCACGGACCGCGAGATCGTGACCTGGCTGAAGTCAGACGCTTAACCGACTGCGCCACCCAGGCGCCCCTGAAAACCGTTTTAGATCTAGCTGTGCTATGAGTTTGGAACAGCCGTTCACCTCTAAACCAAGAAACGTCCCAATAACGTTTGTCACTGGGACCTTTGGAGCTGCTCTTACACTAGAAGAATTTAAACCCCTCGCGTATGAAGAAATTCGATTATGATGGAACTGTGAGGCACTTTAAAAAATCTTTTTAAGTGTATTTATTTATTCTAAGAGAGAGGGCAAGCAGGGGAGAGGCAGAGAGAGAGAGAGAGAGAGAGAGACAGGAAGAGAGAGCATCCCAAGCAGGCTCCGTGCTGTCAGCACAGAGCCCAAGGCAGGGCTCAATCTCACAAACCGTGAGAACATGACCCGAGCCAACATCAGGAGACCCACGCTTAACTGAATGAGCCACCCAGGCACCCCAGTGAGGCATTTTTAAAAGAAGCGTTTCAGGGGCACCTGAGTGCCTCAGTCAGGCATCCAACTTCGGCTCAGATCATAATCTCGAGGTTCCAGCCCCACACCGGGCTCTCTGCTGTCCGCACGGAGCTCACTTCTGGTCCTCCGTCTCCCTCTCTCTGCCCGTCCCCTGCTCATGCGCTCTCTCTCTCTCTCTCTCTCTCTCAAAAAGAAATAAACATCTAAAAATTTTTCAAACAATAGAAATAAAAGAAGTGTTTCCTACGGGTGCTTATGGGCTCATACAATGATGAGGATAAGCAGCATTTGTTCAAAAGACACTTGAAAACCAACGTGTGCTTCCTCCCACAGATCATAATTGCTGTGAGCCAGCTGATAGCCGACGTGGCACTAAGCGGAGGATCGCGATTTCAGGAATCCCTGTTCATTATCAATAATTTTGCAAACAGTGACAGACCTATGAAGGTACGTCCTCACTACAAGTAATAAACTAGCACCACATTCACTGTCAGAGAAGCTTACACTCCTGTAGTCAAACCCTCATTGGACTCACAGCTTTTGATGGCACAGGGCGTATATAGAACGTGGGTTTCACGAGTCAAGGCTCTGTTTGGTACGGAACAGAGCTTCAGTATTCGTTGACTGGATGGATGAATGACTATGTTATGTATACACAGCCGTTAGAGCTAGTAGGATTGGAATTTTTTCCTGAGCTTGATTTCCACACTTGCTCAGACAAGGCATGGATTCTTTTTTGACTACCATTTGGCTACCAATACCATTTATGGTATTGGTTAATGAAGCACTGAGTTTGAACTTCCACAAAATGTCACTGAGAGTGGCCAACAGAGGAGGAATAACGCAGAAGGAATTCACCACTTGATGGTCTTCTGAGTTTTGAGAATTATCTTTGAGCTGCTTATGGCTTGCCGTGGATATGTGTGGGCAAACCCAAGGCCAAGGCTGTCGTTCTCCGGCACCAGCTGGCTGAGGCCAAGCCTAAGACCCTGACCACCGGTCGTATTCCTAACCCACATACTCAGAACCTATGCCATTGTAAAAATTCGTTTGTCTTGTTGCACAGAAAACAGGTTCTGATCTTCAGCGATGCACGTGTACAAGGGAAGAAGAATCTTTTTGTCAGTCAAGGACTTTTCCTCCCCAGGGGATCATCGCCATTCTTGGGAAAGGTCATCCTCCAGGATAATTTGACCATATTGTGTAAAAACTGTAAGAAAAAAAAAAAAACACAGTCACGGCATACTTGATGTTTGGGACGTGTAGAATCTGTGTACCAAAAAATAATTCCCATAGGAACGTTGCTTAGACTGAAAAAAAAAACAAAAAACAAACAAAATCTCCCCGGGAGATCAGCATATGCTCCAACTAATCCCATGAGCACAAAAACATTTTATGCCATTTAGGATCTCACACTCTGAGAGTTTATTTTACCACTTGTGACCATCCTTAATTCTTTGTTATATAAAAGTTGTCTTAGCATCATTTTCAAAGTAAATGAGGTCTGTATTGGCTGACCTTGGTAAGAAATCTTTTGTATGACTCATTTCTGAAATGACCTCACTTTACTCTGGTGGGGCTGTCATTACCAATAAACCCTATGACAACAAGTATGCCTTCACCCCAGGAAATGGGACTGCTACTGGGGTATAAGAAGGAACTTTATTATATATACTTATTATTTTCGAAGGGATCAGGAAGGCACTTTGAAAAACCGTTTCCTCCACAGTTGGTTACATTCACATTGAAAAGCTCCCCAACCCCTGTATTGTCCCTTCCTTGTCTTCTCTGAATCCTACGGATAACTGTGATTACTCCATTGGGGTTAAGAGGAAGTGAGAATACGTTCTTAGTAGCAGCCAGGATAAAAAGGAAACTGTAGCTTAATGGGTTTGGAGGACAAAACAACATTTTTTTTTTTAATTTTTTTTTTCAACATTTATTTATTTTTGGGACAGAGAGAGACAGAGCATGAACGGGGGAGGGGCAGAGAGAGAGGGAGACACAGAATCGGAAACAGGCTCCAGGCTCCGAGGCATCAGCCCAGAGCCCGACGCGGGGCTCGAACTCACGGACCGCGAGATCGTGACCTGGCTGAAGTCGGACGCTTAACCGACTGCGCCACCCAGGCGCCCCCAAAACAACATTTTGAGAGAGGCTATTCACTCTTTAGGGTTTTCTGTGATTCACAACCTTTTAGTTGTGTAAGTGGAAATCGTTACGGTATTGGTGTAAGGTTTTTACTTTAGTGTACGTGGCAGTGTTTGGATGGAAGAGTGGCTGAGATCACTAGCTCTGGAACCCGAATGTCTGGGTATAAATCCTGTCTCTACCACCTAACCAACTGTGATGCTTTGGCCAAGCTATGTAACTGCTGTGCACCTCAATTTTCCTTTATAAAATGAATTACAGTGGTACTTCTTTCATAGGGTTGCTGCAAAAGTTAAAACATGTAAGGCACGCCTAGACCACACGAGTACCTAGTAAGCTGTCAATTTTTAGTTACCGTTATAACTAAAATCACACAATAATGGCAAATAATTCTCCTGGCTGTCGAATTTACCGTGGACAAGTCTGCCTCCAGATCCGTGCTTTTATGTATTGTGAATATAGTGCCGTCCAGTTTAGAGCCTTTGAAGCCTGAGCTAATTGGACATTTTAAAAAAGAATTCATGGGGCACCTGGGTGGCTCAGTCGGTTGGGCGGCCGACTTCGGCTCAGGTCATGATCTCGCGGTCCGTGAGTTTGAGCCCCGCTGACAGCTCAGAGCCTGGAGCCTGTTTCAGATTCTGTGTCTCCCTCTCTCTGACCCTCCCCCGTTCATGCTCTGTCTCTCTCTGTCTCAAAAATAAATAAACGTTAAAATAAATAAATAAATAAATAATAAAAAAAGAATTCATTTACACGGCTTCAGGGGTGCCTGGGTAGCTCAGTCGGTTAAGCATCCGACTCTCGATCTCAGCTCAGGTCATCACAGTTCGTGAGATTGAGCCTCATGTCGGGCTCTGTGCTGACAGTGCAGAGCCTGCTTGGGAGTCTGTCCGTCTCTCTGTCTCTGTCTCTGTGTCTCTCTGCCCATCCCCCACTCATGCTCTCTCCCGTGGGTGCTCTATCAAAATAAATAAGCGTTAAAAAAAATAAAGCTCTTTATTTTTTAATATTTATTTAATTTGAGAGAGAGAGAGAGCACGAGCAAGGGAGGGGCAGAGGGAGAGAGAGAGAGTGCGAGAAAGAGACACTCTTAAGCAGGCTCCATGCTCAGTGCAGAGAGATCCCACAATCCTGGGATCAAGACCTGAGCCGAAATCGGGAGTTGGATGCTCCACACTGACTGAGCCACCCAGGCACCCCGTACAAAGAAAAAAAACCAAAGCTCCGTAGACACATGGTATACCAAGAACTGTAATCAGGAATATAAGTCATGCTTAGAGCACATGGGTAATATTGATCAACATGTCTTTTTTGTTTGTTTGTTTTGAAATTAGGCCACTGCTTTTCCCACAGAAGTCAAAGACTTGACCAAGAGAATCCGTACTGTCCTTATGGCCACCGCTCAGATGAAGGAGCATGAGAAAGATCCTGAAATGTTAATTGATCTCCAGTACAGCCTAGCCAAGTCCTATGCGAGCACCCCGGAGCTCAGGAAAACCTGGCTTGACAGCATGGCCAAGATTCATGTAAAAAATGGAGATTTTTCAGAGGTGACTGCTTCGGACTTTGTTCTAAACACCACCCTGCAGAAAGCTCTGGAACGCATTCTGACCGCTCTTCCTTTGTCATCCTTTTCCAGGCCGCAATGTGTTACGTGCACGTGGCAGCTCTGGTTGCCGAGTTTCTCCATCGAAAAAGTAAGAGATTTCTGCTCCTAGAGATGGGGAGAATTTCAGATAGCCCCGGAGTTTTTCTCTTTGTAGCTTGAATGTGATACGATTGAGCTCTGAAATGTACGTTCACCTTTAGCCTCAGTTGGTGTTCAAAGAGAAGGTGTTGGAAAACTGGATTATTCACTTTGCCTTCTGCTTTCATTGAGAGTACAGGAATAAGTTAAATAGCACAGGGCCAGGCCTGATGCCCAATGTTTATTTTCCAAGACCATCTCCCTGGAAGACTGCCACAAATTAAATTCTTCTCGGGGCTCATGAGGAGCTCTGGTGAATACAGATCATTTGTTTTCCCCTCATCCGTCTCGACTTCAAAAATGCACACAGGTTACAGCTCCATAGCCACTTTAGTGCAACAATACTTTGGTATTAACAGGGACTCGGGGCGAGGGGGCGCCTGGGTGGCTCAGTTGGTTGGGCGTCCGACTTCGGCTCGGGTTCATGATCTCGCGATTCGTGGGCTTGAGCGCCGCATCGGGCTCTGTGCTGACGGCTCAGGGCCTGGAGCCTGCTTCGGATTCTGTGTCTCTCTGCCCCTCCCCTGCTCATGCTCTGTCTCTCTCTCAAAAATAAATATTAAAAAATTAAAAAGAAAACAATATGAAAAGGGAGTCAGGAGGCGCCTGGGTGGCTCAGTCGGTGAAGCGTCCGACTCTTGGTTTCGGCTCAGGTCATGATCTCATGGTTCGTGAGTTCAAGCCCCTCATCGGGCTCCACGCTGCCTGTGCGGAGCCTGCTTGGGATTCTCTCTCCCCCTCTCTCTCTGCCCCTCCCCTGCTCTTGCGTGCTCTCTCTTTCTCTCTCTCTCTCTCTCAAAATAAATGATCCTAACAAATAAATAAAAGGGAGTCAGCGCATCGGCAAGATGGCCAAGTAAGATGCCCCTTGTTTCTGTATCCCCCCCTCAGCAGTTTGCCATCCGTCTGCGGACAAAGGTGCCTCTGTGGGAGCTGTGGGATTCAGCACCATACAGCCAGGGACCTGGGAGGAGTCTCCCCCACCTGTGCCTCAGGCAATAGGCAGACAGACCTTGGTCCTGGACGTGGACCCTGTAGTGGCTCATGAACTGGCCCTAGCCTTTCTCAGCTGTGGTCTGAGCACACTTGGAGAGCCCCGTCTTAGATAATCATCCACAGACCAGAGGACCTTGGTGGATGACCAGGAGGCCCGTGGCAAAGTTCCAGCATGCCGTTGGAGCAAAACAAATACAAGTTCAGATGCATCGTAGAGGGTGAAAGGAACGGTTTGACTTAACTCATGTCACCCCTTCCCCAAGGTGGCACAGCTCCGTGCCAAGAGAGACCTTCTTGCCCATGATTTCTTCTGTGGGGAACAAGTGGGAGCATGTGAGTGGGCCCCTGGCATCCGCAGCAGTATAAGGCCTGCCAAAGAGACGCATTTCTCTCTTGCCCCATCCGGGGTACCTGGCTCCTGAGCCGCATGACTAGGGGCAGGAAGAGGTGGGAGTAGATCGGACTCTTAGAGGGCCTTAAAGAGACGTGGATCCTGCTAACCGCATCGCAGGCTCCATCTAGAAGCCCAAGGCACTAGGGACACATAGCTCATGGATTCCTGCCCCCACCCCCACCTAGCCCACAGGCACCTCCAGTGCTCTGTGCATCTAAACCCTGCACTCCTTTATCCTGTAGCCGGCTCCCTGTGTGTGCTCCTGATGGGTGGCTAAGAGCAAGCCTTGGCAGCCGACTAGAAGGCCATCCAGCATCTGTGGGCCACTAAGAGACCACAAGCTTGAGCTTTAGCACTTTGGCCTGGTGTGTTGCACGATGGAGAGAAGGCATACAAGCCTCAGAAATCTGCCACAAAACGGGCACCTGGGTGGTTCAGTCGGTTAGGCGTCAGACTTCGGCTCAGGTCACGATCTCATGGTTCACGAGTTCAAGCCCCTCATCGGACTCTGTGCTGACAGCTGGGAGCCTGGAGCCTGCAGCCTGCTTCAGCTTCTGTCTCCCTCTCTCCGCCCTTTCCCCTTTCCCCTTTCCCACTCTGTCTCTCTCTCTCTCCCTCAAAAGTAAACACTAAAAAAAATCTGCCACAAAAGGGAGCAAGAAGTATGAAGCCAGTGTATCCATAGGAGGTCCGTGAAAGCCACAGACTCCGTAGCAGGGCAGATGGAAGGTGTTTCTCCCCCAAAGTCAGTCAGTAAAGGTGGTTGGAGGTGACTGCTATTTCAGATGCAAAGACAGCCATGCAAAAGACTTCAGAGAACAGGAAAAATGAAGGAAACATGGCACCACCAAAGGCTCCCAATAATCTTCCAGTAACCCAGGCCAAAGTCCTGGAGATCTGCAATGTACCTCATGAAGAATTCAAAATAGCTGTTTTAAGGAAGCTTAATGAGCTATGATAAAACAGAGAGTTCAATGAAACCAGGAGAATAGTACACGAACAAGAAGTTAAACGCAGATAGGAAATTAAAAAAAAAAAAATTCTGGCATTGAAGAATACAATGAATGAAGTGAAAAATGCAACAGCATTGCCAACAGAGTGGATCAAACAGAAGTAATCTGTGAATTGGAAGTCAGGACCTTTGAATTTGTTTCATCAGAGGGGAACAAGGACAAAAGAATGAAAAAGAGTAAAGAAGCCTCCGGGCGTGATCTTTGGGATAGCATCAAAAGAAACAATCTGTGAATTCTTTGAGTCCCAGAAGGAGAAGAGAGGGAGAAGGAGACAGAAAACTTTTATTTCAAGAAATATAACTGAGAATATCCCAAATCTGGGGAGAGATTTGGACATCCATGTTCACGAAGCTCATAGATCCCCAAACACTCAACATAAAGAGAGCTTCTCTAAGACCCGTTATAATAAAACTATCCACAGACAAAGAACCCCAAGGCAGCAATAGGAAAGAAGTTTGTAACTGACAAGGGAACCCCCATAAGGCCATTGGTAGGTTTCTCAGCAGAGCCTTGCAGGCAAAGAGAGAGTGCGATGAAGTATTCAAAGAGCTCAAAGAATAAAACTGCCAGCCAAGAGGACTCCAGTAAAGTTGTCCTTCAGAAGTGAAGGACCGATAAAGACATTCCCAGGCAAACACAAGCTGAGGGAGTTCATCCCCACTACACCTGCCCTGCAAGAAAGGCTGAAAGGAGTTCTTCAAGCCGAAATGAAGAGATGCTAATTAATAACGTGAAAACCTGTGAAATGGATCCATAAGAATGGGTAAAGAAGATGTGGCACATATACACAATATTCAGCCACAAGAAAGAAGGAAGTCTGGCCAGTTTGGGCAATATGGATGGCATAGCATAGCATGGCATAGCATTATGCTAAGTGGAATGAGTCAGAAAGAAAGACCAACACCGTATGATCTCACTTTCATGTAGCATCTAAAAACTCGAAACCACAGAGGCAGAGCGTGGAATGGTAGTTGCCAGAGGCTAGGGGGTGGGGAAAGTGGGAAGATGTTTGTACCAAAGGGTACAAACTTTCAGTTAGAAGAGGAATAAATTCTGGGGATCTAATGTACAGCACAGTGATGACAGTGAAGACTGTATTATATACCTGAAAGTTGCTGAGAAAGTGGATCTTAAATATTCTCATCTCCCCGCAAAAGGTAATTATGTGGGGGGGGGGGGGCCTTTCATTTCGCAATATACACATATCAAATCAACACACACACCTTAAACTTACACAGTGTTCTATTTCAGCTGTGTCTCAACAGAGCTGGCGGGGAGGCGAGGGAAGGAGAAACCAAAAGGGAGTCGGGGATTTTGAAGGGCTTCAGGATCCAGCAGATCTAATTCAAGAATCTGCCTGAAAGCTTCCCTTTCCAAAGCCAGTATTGTTGACTACTATAAAACTACTCAAATAGTAAAATAGTTGAGTTAGAAACCTTCTGCTATCTATCATAACGGCCAAGCTATTTCCTTTACGGTAGTTAAATGAGTAACATCAGGGCAAAATGAAACCATCCTGTGGGAGCCTTATCACTCTGGTTTGATCTAGGAGAACACAGCCACGTTTTGTTTTGTTTTGAATTCCTACAGTTAACTATACAGCTTCCATTTTACATCTAAGGCTCAGTGGATTGCCTCATAGAATAATACCACCCATGTGGGGAGAACCTCTTTATACGTAAAGAGTCATCCCAAGCATGGTATCATGAATAACATGTAGATTCATTTTACTTCTATTTTTTTATTACTATTTTTAATGTTTATTTATTTGAGAGTGGGGGGGGGGGGGGCGGGCCAGAGAGAGAAGGAAGGAGAATCCCAACAGGCTCCACGCTGTCAGTGCAGAGTCTGACACGGGGCTCGATCTCAGGAACCACACGTTCATGACCTGAGCCAAAATCAAGGGTCAGGCGCTCAACTGACTGAGTCACCCAGGCGGCCCTTTTTCACTTATATTTTAAATTAACACTTTCTGTTTGGTACTGAAATATTTAACAACCCATGTGTTTGAAATTGGTAGACTCTAGTGTTCTCCTTTGAGTGCCTAGACTTGGTTTTAAAATGGAAAAATAATAATTATCAAAAGAAGGCTCCATCTGAGGGTTTTTTTTTTCCCTACATCACCAGTCTGCCTGTGAAATTATAGTCAAAGTAAATATTGAAATTGTACATCTGCAGTTCCAAATAAACTGATACGAGAACTCAAAACACGGTAATGCATTTTTAGGTGTAGTATTATCTCCTCTCTCTAATTAGAGAAATCTGCAAAAAGATTTTTATGTCCACGGAGTATCAAACTGTACCCTTTAGATATTGAAAATTGTTAAATATGTTAAAATATTTCCCTAGATTTTTTTCCCCATAGGTGCAAAGACTTAAAATTAGGCAAAAATCAAGAATTATTAATCTCCATTATCAGTCCTTAAACTTTGAAAATACAAGACTGGGCAAGATAGCAACTAAAATAGAATATAAATATTGCTGTGGTTTGTTGGACATGAGTTGGGGGCAGCTAGCCTGTACACAAAATAATGCGACCTGTTTCAG